AATCCAACGGACAATTTGTGATCTCAAATTATTGCGGACTTCATACATGTTGCAATCTGACTGTCACTAATGATCAAACAACAGCAACTTCCGCTTATATAATGAAGCTAATTATGCCCAAATTTAGGCGAGAACTTGATCTTACTCCAGGACAGATAATAACAACGGTTCGTGCTATGAAAGGCATAACTATATTCAAGTCTAAAGCATATGATGCACGAAGGAAGGCGTTGACTAAAATATTTAGAGATTGGGAAGAATCTTATCAAAAACTTCCACATTATCTTGCAGCAATTAAGAGGAATAATCCGGGTTCCGAACATGAGATAGTGTCTAAGCAGGTCTCGCCGGAAGTGGAGAGGTTCATACGGGTATTTTGGGCATTTGGGCCCGCTATCAAAGGGTTCTCGTTTTGTCGTCCGCTCTTAAGCATCGATGGAACACATTTATATGGCAAATACAAAGGAGTGCTCTTGGTTGCGACCGGTGTAGATGCAAATGGTGGACTATTTCCAATAGCTTTCGCAGTTGTGGAGGTGGAGGATACATCGAGTTGGAAGTGGCTTTTTTAGTGTATTTACAAATACATTCCAACTGTTCAAAGTCCAAGAGTTATTACCTTTATTTCTGATCGAATGAAAGGAATTCCACGAGCCTTGCATGAGGGGTGGAGTGCGCCACATCATCACCGTTACTGCTTGCGGCATATAAGAGCTAATTTTAAGAGAAAACATGGAGAGGTAAATTTACAAAATTTATTGTGGCAAGCCGGGTGTGCCATTGACTCACTTGTATATGAGCATTGTAGAGAGAAAATTAAATCCCTATCAGTTGAAGCACACAATTGGATTGAACAAAACTTGAAGCCACAATACGAAGATCGATGGGCATTATGTAAAGATGGTGGAGTGCGTTATTGTATGATGATGACTAATTATTCAAAAAGTTTTAATGGTGTACTTAAGGGTGCCTGTGCTATGCCAATTAGTGCCTTAGTTGCAAGGACGTTTTATAAATTGAACGCATACTTCCAAAAGAGACGGAGTGATGGTGCAAATTGGACAAGTAAGTACACTCCAAAAAATAAGTTAATGTTACAGAAAAGGGTTGTGGCTGTAAGAACATGTAGAATTGAACCATTCAATGATAATGAATGGGAGGTCAAGGATCGTGATGGCACTTACATCGTTCATCTCTATGACCAAGAGTGTAGTTATACTTGTAGCCTACCACAATTACAAAAACTACCATGTGAACATGTTTTAGCAGCTAGTTCTAGTCAGGATGGTGGCGCTAGATTACCGTATGATCGGTATTGCTCAGCTTGGTATTCAACAAATCATTATCGGAAGGCTTACAAAGAGAGTTTTTATCCTCCCGATGATACTCGTTATTAGCCTGCCGCTTATACAGAATATTTATTACCACCTCAAGTCAAAAGACAAGTGGGACGACCTCGATCTGTGCGCATTAGAGGTACTATGGATCAAGGCCGAGAAGGAGGAGCATCACGAATCAGATGTGGAACATGTAGTCAATTAGGGCATAATAGGTCTCGTTGTCCATGCCGTTAAGAGATCGCCGAGATCCGAACGAGTTTGGATGCCGAAGGCCAAAACAACACCTAAGGTAAAAACAGGTAATATTGCTCTCCAACCTTCGTCAATTTCAGGTCCCGAGCCTTCAGTAAAGCCCCACCGCAGCGTGGATTTCCCCAAGTTCAAGAATCCTCTGAACAACCGCATCGACCAGATGTGGAACATGTAGTCAATTAGGGCATAATAGGTCTCGTTGTCCATCAAGAACAAGTTTATAGCAAATAATTGATAATATATTTTCTATTTACATTGTTAACTTTATTATTGTGGTCTTATACATTTGGTAGAAACTAATAAGGTAATCTTGACATGTTCAGGTATATACGCGATGCTCCCCGAGCCGGTTTCTGATGAAGTCCTCTATGATCAGCCACGCCATCGTTCAGAGAGTATATCATTTACAGAGGTACTATGGCTCTATGTTTTGAGTCATAAGTTTAGACTCACATTATTTATTCATTGTGATATTCTAATATTTATTTTTATTTTTGTGTAGAGAGGGCAAGAGCTGGTTATGATTGATCATAGCATTGGGCATATGCGTTGGCCGCTTGATGATCCTCGCATCATTGCCCTAATATCCCAAGCCAGTTTTCTGATTTGCTCACAATTACGATGGATGAAGCTCGACTGGGCACTGCTTAATGCGTTAATGGATAGGTGGAGGCCCGAGACTAACACTTTTCATCTACGTGTTAGGGAGGTAACTATTACTCTTCAGGATGTAGCAGTCATCCTAGGACTCCGCATTGATGGTCCTTGTGTTACGGGGACAGATAGGCATGTTTGGCGGGATGTATGTGATAATTTGTTAGGACTATCACCGGAGTCCTTACCTGGAGGGTATATTAGATTAAAATGGCTAAAAGAGAATTTTGCTAACCCATTGCCACACGATGCATCAAAAGTCATGATCCAACAACATGCTAGAGCATATATTTTGCACATGATCGGGACGCTTCTTTTTCCCGATTCAAGTAAACATAAAGTGCATTTGAGGTAAGACGGGTCATAAATTGTTATTACTTTTATACTTTGATAAGAAGATATTTTTTTCTCACTATTTTTAGAAAATCTGACTAACGCAATTGATTTTTCAATAGGTGGTTACCACTTCTCGAAGACTTTGACGTGTGTGGGACATTATCCTGGGGTAGTGCTATTTTAGCATATCTATATCGAGAAATGTCAAAGGTTGCTTTAATGCAAAATAAAGAGCTCAAAGGCTGTTTGACATTGTTACAAGTTTGGGCATGAGAGAGACTGGTTTTGAAACTGCAATTATGCGAGATCCGAGAGTTGGATGGACAGATTCCACTAGGCTGCAAGTAAAATTCGTCGAATTTAATCTCGTTTGATATTTTATTTTTCATTTAAACTTTTGAACAAAAAACTATCGTATATAAATCTTACAGATGGAATGTCACTAAAGCCTATAATGAGGTCCCGGCTAGACAGTTAGACTTTTACAAGGGGGAGCTCGACCGAATGAAAAATTTTCAGGTATGAATTTGAATTGCAATCGTTTAAAGCTATCGATATATTTCAAACAACAGTTAATATATGGACTATTTTGCAGTTCGAGTGGCAGCCATACGCACCTTACTTACATCGTCTACCGCTGATTTGTATGGAGGGATACAGCATATGGCGGTCCAGAGTTCCTCTCATTTGTTTCGAAATTGTGGAGATGCACGTACCCGATCACATGTTTAGACAGTTTGGACTCACACAGCACGCTCCACAATTGGTCGAACAAATAGAGAGAAAGGCGTCTAAAGGTGGACATCAGATTAACTGGCAGCGCACGCATTAATCATACATAGTTCAGTGGAATGATCAGCATTAACTTATTATTGATCCGCTTTATCCTCCGATGCAGGAAGTCGATTACATGAGATGGTATTAGGGGGTTACCCAACGTTGGATAATCACCCAAACTGCGCCTCCAGTCGACGAAATCGAGATTCGCAACCAACAATCTCGATATGTACCAAGAGGGTTAGATGAGAGGCGATGGGTAAGTAAATTGTGACAATTATAATAGATTTTTCAATCTTTATGTTAGCTTTTTGTTTCTTATATGAAGCAATATTTTTATGTAATTGTAGCTAGACGCATTGGACGATGTAGTGGGGATTACAAATGAGGGTATAACTACCGCCATAGGAGATTCTGTGGACGTATCGATATTACAGCGGATAGTGGTGAGAGTTCGTAGAGTTTTTCAACAAACTCATGAGGATCGGCATGAAGGTCGTGAGCAGATGGATCTTGAAGTTACTATATATGTGCGCCAACATAGACGTGATAGATCTTGCACGCACGACGATGAAGCTGGCCCGTCATAACAAGCTGGTCCGTCACAACAAGCTGGTCTGTCAGAGCCCCACACACAACCGGAGAGCGAGCATATACAAGCTCAAGACGAAGGGGGCCGCCGACGATCTCAGTGGGTGCGAAGACCGAGACAACGGGGGAGGGGTGGATTTTTCCTTTGTTAGTTTTTCCATGTAGATTATATATTGTCATATGGATTTATTGATGCATTTGGATTTATTCTACTTAAGCTACATATTATCGTATGGTTAAACTTAATGCATTTGGAATTATTTGTTGCTGATGTGAATTTTGGTAGAATTTTGGATGTGATGTTGTGATGATGTATTGTGTTGTGATAATGTGTATTTTTTAGATTTGTGTTATAATGTTCTAATTTTATAACTTTTATCAATGTATACAATGTTAGATGATATATTAGAGACAAATTATCTCTGCAAAATATACGGGACTAGTAGTCCCGTATATTTGCTGGCAGAGGCAAATTGGCTCTGTAAATTGTGCGGGACTACTAGACCCGTATATTTGCTTGCAGAGGCAAATTGGCTCTGCAAAATGTACGGGACTAGTAGTCCCGTACGTTTTGGTGAGCCACCAAAAATATGCCAGAAAACATACGGGACTACTAGTCCCGTATATTTTCTAATCGGTAATTAGTGTGTTGAAAACATATGGGACTAGTAGTCCCGTATGTTTTCAAAGCACTTTTTTGAAAATCGACCTCTTTTTGGCCAGACCAAAAAAAGATCGATTTTGCTAAATATTTAGCAAAAGTGATCTATTTTCAGAATTTTCCCTATTATTATCAACTGAAAAGTCCAAGGTCAACAGGATAAATATGTAAATATTCCCCCCACAACACCCCACGCTTTCTCCCACTCCACCAAATACATAAAAAGTAAAAATAATAATAATAATATAAATAAGAATAATAAAATAAACCAGAAACAGATTAATCCCAAAAAAGAAAAGAAATTTAAATTTAAACAAATAAAAAAAGCGGATGAGAGCAAAGTTTCCCGTAGAGTCCACATTTAATCAGCACACACCCAGTGCCATATACGAACAAAAGAAAAGAAATTTGACAATATAAAAAAGAGAAGGCTCCTCTTCACCTATTCACCTCCTCACCTTTTCTTCCCTCTGCCATTAATTTTGATTCCTTCAATGTTCTTCTTCTATAATTGATTGTGCAGATTCCCACCTAAAAACCCATCAAAGACCTGTGAATTTTTTCCCATTTAATTTCCCTTTTTCTTCTTTTTTTTTTCATCCTCTTTGTTTTTTTGGGTCTAAAGAGACTGAGAGAGCGAAAAATTAACAAAAAGGAAAATACTGCTCCTTTGGGTTTCTGGGTTGTGCGTTGTAGAAACTCTTCTTTCGGTGTCACAGGAAAAGCCTATTCAAACCCACTCACCGATATTTTTTTTTATTTAAAAAGATTTTTTTTCCTGATTTTGTTGAGACTTTGATAGAGTAAAGGGACCGCTATTTTTTTCTCCTTTTATTTTTTTGGTAATTTTGTTAATTGAGGTGAGAGGAGTTGAGAGGCATGGGGAAGCATGGACCTTGCTGTCATTGTGGTGTCACAAGTGAGCTCTTGTTCTTTTTTCTTCTTCTTCTTTATTTATGTAAAAATTTAAGGCCATATTTGATTTTTGGAAATTTGGGTTTTAGAATTAAGATGTTATTGTTCTACAAGAGACGCTTAATCTTGTGAAATTGTTGCCATCCCTTCATTCCTTTGTCTGCTTGTTATGTGTGCTGTGAAATTTCATATGGGAATTCTAAACCCAATTATAAATAAAGGAGATTCTTGTTATATTATTGAAATTGTGGAGTTATTGTTTGAATTGGTATATTTTGTGGAAACCTTCTTCTGAGCTTGTGTGAACTCTTATTGATGGCTTGAAGTCGAATGCATTGACCAATTTGACTGCAAAATTGTGTAATTGGAAAGCTCTTTGGTGGATTATTGCCCTCTGTTTCTGGTTTCAGCTCTTTTGCGCAAACCTTGTTGTGTTTTTGTTTAATATTGCGAAGTGTATGGTGATACATGACTTGTAGGCTGAGCGGCAACGGACTGTGTCATTTGATGTACTCGCTATAAACTTTGCATATGCTGGTTATTGACAGTACTCTTCCTGCGATCTTAGGTGCATAGATGAAGTGTAGTCTTCCACCATTTGACCCATTAATGTGAGAAACTTTCATACATGACTAGTATGTGGAAGCTTAGTCTTTCATTAAATCGCCTATTCATTTCATGGGAGTTTTCCTCTCATTTGAGTCTTGGCCTGGACTGCATTTGAAATCAACAATTTTGGTTATGCCTATTTATTTGGTAGAGTCAGTGTTGTTCATATGCTTTTTGTATTGAGCCTTATGTTATAGACTGATTTATAAAAAGAGCATTTTGATAGTGTTGGCTGAACATTTTCTTTGTCGTAATATTTCCAGTTCAATCTTCTTCACTGTGATTTACATGGTATTTGGCCATCTTCAAGCTATCTACTCATTGCCTTTTCTTCTTTCCCTGATATTTTCTCCATTGACTTCCCCTTTTCTGTACTTTTAATGCTTGTCAGTTGATTATCTTATGACTTTCAGCTTAAAGGAAGATAAACAAAACAGGAAAAAAATTGATGCTATTGACATGAGATAAATTCTATAATTGCACACATAATGGAAATCACAAAGCAAGAACTATCTTTTTTTAATGTGATTGAGATGGATGCGAATTCCTAAATGAATTGTGGATGACTCCATGCTACTTAGGTATTGAAGCTTTCAGATATTCACCAATTACATGGTTTGCATTGCTTATTTATATAAAAATTGAGACTTGTTTGAATTTGAATAATCACCTTGTAGCACCTTAACCGTGCGACTAAGAAGTTTCATATTAACAGAAAAAAGCAAACAATTTACCCTACGTAACATTCTCATTGTCTTAAGTGCGACTAAATTTTCTTTGTTAGTCTGGGTGTGGTGCACTTGTATGTTGTAGAATTCAGTCTGTGGTTATATTGTATCATAGGACAATTTTCATCTTTATTTCTTCAATTTGCATTCAATAGTATTCATTTCCAACATCTATCTTCTTGAGTTCTAATTACCTTCTCGATTGCTGATGTTAAAATTTGCAACAGCTACTCCTCTTTGGCGAAATGGGCCACCTGATAAGCCTGTTCTCTGCAATGCATGTGGTTCAAGGTGGAGAACAAAAGGTTCTTTGATTAACTACACACCACTGCACGCTCGTGAACTGATTGAGCAAGAAGGGTTGGAAGTATGTAAAGTCAAACCTATACCTGTCAAGCCCAAAGAGAAGAAGCTGCAGAAGATCAAACAAAGCTCTGGTGCACTGGAAAATAAGCGTGAAATACCATATTCCGACCAGAACTTCCGGAAAATGTTAGAAAGAGATACGAGCAATTGGTCGAGCTCCGGATCAGCAACATCATATTCTGAGAGTTGTGCACATTTTGCAACCAATGAAGTAAGTGATTTGACAGGTAAGATCTTTTCCATTCTTTGAATGATATACGAGGACAGCTTATAAGCATCAACTTATTCTTTTCTACTTGTTCAAATCTTAATTAGGAAAGTATCATGTCATCTATTCTTCAGCAAAAAAGGCCTAGATGAATGTGCTTTCGACATAATTTATCATTGAAATTTTTATTGGCTATTGGGCTTCAGGTGGACCTTAGAGAGTTGAATATCATCCCTTTAGCATGACTATCATCTTTCCTCTTCTGTTTTTTTTAATCTAAAAGATTTTTGGACATTTTCCCTTGATTGCACAAATGTAAACGACATGAACAAGAGCTTCCTACCTGCAAACTGACTTCTAAGATTTTTACAAGTGTCTCTCTTGAACCCGGATTCCTCGAGAACTTTGGCACCAAGATGTTAAAAACTGACAGCTTGACTTAAAGTTTTCTCAAGTGTTTTATGGAGCTTTGTACCCTTGGCTTACCCTGTTTAGATAGGAGCGTTGTAGATGGTGATGATCGCTGCAATTTCTACATCTTAGGTTTATTTAGTAATATACAAACTCTTTTCATCGCAGCTAATGAGTTTTATTGTGTGATGTTATGTTAGGCATTATTACTTGGACAAGTACCATTATTATGATGATGTGTTGTGGTAGTTTCCGATACTCTTGATCCTTGAGATAAGGCTTTATATACCTGTAACTATGCTAGTCCAGTGGGAACATGCAACCTCTAGGCAAGAACAAATGCAAGTATGATAGAAACTCTTCAATCAGGAAGGCCCATAATTATAGGTTGAATCTTTCCTCTAGAGTGGTTTGAAGTGGTGGCTTCTTGTATGCGCATGCCCACATGTGTGCCATGTGCATTTGTGCGTGTTTTGTTGGTTTTTTTTGTGGGGGGAGAGGGGGGGGGGGGGGGTGGGGGAATTGGTTGTTGGTTCTGAATGTCATGTTTGCTTGGAGAATGTGTTAGATTATGGTTTATTCGTCTTGGTCAGAAGTCATCGTAAGCAACTTCAATGCAGTATACACATTCGTACTAGCTAGTGAATAGAAATCTTAACATCACAGAGAAAGGAAGTGTAAAAATTATATTAGGCTGCATGGTTTTATTAAACTCATGCTGTTTGTTAAATCTTGCGGACTGCTTAAGCCAGAATTTTACTTTCAAGTCTTCTATGTACCACTATTCACACTTGCCAAGGAATATTGAGAATAAATTCCAGTGCCTTTATTAATTTTATTATACATAACTTTTCCTAAATAAGCAAAATTTTCGATGACATGCCATATGTCTTGATGTATATTAATGGTTGATGACTTGATGCTATGAGTTCAGATTAGATACTTAACATGAATCAGATGAAAAGTATGACGGAACTTTTGCTTAAATTAAATAAACGATTGCTACTTGGACCAATGTTTCAATTACTTTACATTCCTTTTTTCTTTACCATTTGATATATCCTTGTTAGTTGTTATCTTTACTCCAACTGTAACTATAGGAAATGGATCACGAGAACTTTGTCTCTCATATAAACTGCCTCCACCTCATAGTTTAAGCTGTTGGCTTTTATGTTTCTCATTCAGATCCATTTTTTCTTCATGAGAGTATTTGTATACTTGTTGCCTTCACATATAAGCTAGCATTTTCTTGAGCTTGTCCTTAAGAAAATTTTGGTTGTTCCTGTTTTCTCTTGCTGTTGGAAGCAGGAAATGTGTAAGACCTTTTCCCTTCCTGAAAGTATCAACTGGATGAGGGTATAAAGTCGTCTAAAATGTACAAATCATCTAACACATACAACTTGTCTTACAAACATTTCTAAGACTCTGTATGATGTGAATCCATGAAGTAAATTATAAACGTGTGTTCTACTGATGTGAATTTCACCTAATTTCTTATGGAGATGAACCCGAAATGCTCATATAGTCAGCAACCTTTAAACTATTTCCCTTTACAAAGAGTAGTTATTTCCAATTTGTGTTGATGATTTATGATGATATTAGCATAATTTTACTCATAATAAGAAGAGCTATCAATTTTATTCACTTTGGTATCAAGTGATAGATATGGTTGTGGATTTTCATTTATAAATCATTTGGTTCATTATCCTTAGTCATATAGACATCAAAGTTTCTGTTATCTTCAGGTTCTGCTCAATCCAATGTATGGGACCCTCAAGTACCTTCAAAGAGAAGGACATGTGTTGTGCGCCAAAAGCCTACGCCTGTTGAGAAGCTCACGAAAGACCTTTATATTATAATGCATGAACAACAGTCTTCTTACCTTTCATCATCAGAAGAAGATCTTCTCTATGAAGGTGAAACTCCAGTTGGTTCTTTTGAGATTGGCAATGGAAGTGTTCTCCTTAGATATCCTAATACAAAAGCTATCGAAGAGGAATCAGAAGCAAGCTCACTTCCTAAGTCATGCATAATCAATGAAGATGAAAGTAAAGGAACAAAGTTTTCAGGTGTTGGCATGGAAAAATTCCGGAAGCCTGCAGCGCATATGGCACAATGTCAAGTGAAAAGGTACTTCTTTATGTATTTAAGTTCTTAAGTTTCATGCTGTTTAAAATAGAATGTTTTATGCTAGGACTTATTTATATGACCCATTTATCTAGTTTCTTAGATAAGCTTGAGTACTTTTTCATGGCTAAAATCCCTTTATCTATCTCCTCAGGGACAAATCTTCTGACAGATTGCATATCCTTCAAGATAGAGATTCACCCCTTTGCTCCACTGATCTTAAAGTAATACTAGAAATCCTTTATGTTGTTTATTTTACCAGTCTATCAAAATTGTGTATCTGGCTGAGAAATATAAAACCGATATACTGTACATGAAATTATCCTTAGCTTATTTCCCAAAAATGTGCTCACTTGTTACCAAATGTAGGATATTGTTGATTTTGAGGTGTTAATGAGACATATGACGGATGAGGAACAACAGAGACTGATGAAATATCTACCATCTTTAGATACTGCTAAATATCCTGAAAGGTAAGGTCACCTTCCTTGTGTGTAACTTTGTTTATTATTTTGATAAAGAGTCCATTATATTGCAATCTTTTATACTGTCTCTTCACTATATTTTGCAGCCTCAGAAGCATGTTTAACAGTTCCCAATTTGTGGAGACTTTATCGTATTTCCAGCAACTACTTCAGGAAGGAATATTTGATTTATCCATTTCAGGAACAGATAATGAGGATTACATTACTTTGAAGAGGCTTGTATTACAGAATTTTTCAAGATCGACATGGGTTGAACACTATAAAAGGCTAAAGGTATGAAATTTCAAATAAACCATTACTATGCAATCTGTGTGGTTTTAGCACTTCTGTTGAGGTATTTACCTTTTATTTGAACTTGTTCATATCCATTGAGTTCTTGTAGTGAGTTGAAGATTTGGCCAACTGATATTTCATTTACTTTGCTTTAGGATATAAAAAAAAAGCAGTATGTCGGAGGGAAAGAAGTGGTAACTGATTCTAGTTATCATGGACATTCAAATTTCACACGCCTCAAGAGGTCAATGGATGCCCAAAATCTGAAATTTTCAGGTTGGTACTATAATTTAGTCTTTTGCATACTCTCTCTCTCTCTCTCTCTCTCTGATTTCCTGTAATAAAATTGTACTATTCACGCCCTTGTTCTTGTCAAATTTATTTTTACCATTTGTCCTAAGTTAATAAGAGGAGGTAGGTTCCACTAAGCTTCTCTTTTGCATTAGTTCATGAGACTATTGCCTTTGTTGGAAGAGGTAATACATGCTGCCTTTAAGTGTATTTGTAAGAACCAGCAAGTTCATATTCCTCAGATCTTGTTCAATTTTCAAAGTATAGATGCGAGAGCTAGCAACCTGCTGATTGATCAGTTTGCTTGTATAGTATTTTTCTAACAGTTGCATGATTAGATGTTGTAATCCTTTATGTATTCAGAATGAAGAATGTCCTAGTACTCCAAATGAATAAGACAATGTTGACGAGCGTGTTTGATGGATAAAGGTCCAAAGAAGAATAAGCCAATAAGATCTATAGAAGTTTGGGAATCACAGAAGATAACATCATGAAAATTTGAACGCAAATGCTGCAAGAATTGAAGATATGGAAAGATGTGCAAACCAGAATTAATATTGATAAGCTTGCATAGAAGATTTTGGAAGAAACCAGTATTATCCATGCACAAACCAACTCCACCAGCTCACTTCATTTTAACATCAATCTAGATCTAACTTTTGGCTAAAAGTATAGACTTTCAAGTAGAGAGAATGGTGAGGATATAAATCTTTGTAGTATGATGTTCTGCATAACCTGAAAATAATTGCTCCAATTTTAATAGGACGACTACAATGATGATGATTGGCAATATAAATTTCAGTTTGTGCTAGATAGGGCAGAGCTAAGTTACTATTTTAATGAATATTTAATGATTTAATCCTTTTTAGACATTTTTTGGGCATTGTTGGTGCTCACAGTAGCACACATCTCTGCCTATCTTGTACAATATTGGTTCAGTTTGTGCTTGATAGGGCAGAGCTAAGTTACTATTTTAATGAATATTTAATGATTTAATCCTTTTTAGACATTTATTGGGCATTGTTGGTGCTCACAGTAGCACACATCTCTGCCTATCTTGTACAATATTGGTGCCTTGATAAACTATATGAGTAGACGTAAAGAAAGTATCAAAACCTTTGTACTTGACGATTAGTATTATTCCATGTGTATATCTTGCACAAGATTGTTACTCTCATAAACCACATGGTTGACATAAAGAGAGCTTCAAAATTATTTTCATCTGAGATCATTTCATAATTTTCTTAGTACCCTAAACCCATTTGTATCATAGAGGACTTTTTGCTTGTTGGAAGGGTACATTTCACAAAATGATCACAAAGATTGGGGTGTTTGGCAAAAACTACCAGAAACTTTTTATAGTAGAGAAAATTTTCATGAGCTCTTTTTCACTAAACTACCATGCCTTACGACTAGGGGTGCAAATGGGCCAGATACGGATCGGATATGAATCTTACCATATCCTTATCCGCTTACTAACCATGGATAGTGCTAAGAATATGCGTCTCAGTTAAAGAAAACTTAAATCCTTATCAGCCAAAATCTAGTGTGGATGTGGATCAGATAAATGGATACAAAATGGATACGAGGAAAGAAAAAAGACTGATGGTCATACGAGGTAAGAGATGCCTAAATATAATAAATTTCCAAAATGGGAGTTTATTTATATGTTCGGCATATTTGAAAAGCTAAGATTAGATCTCTATTAGTCTAATGATCAAAACAATTTCAACTGTACATATATTTGGATGTGGATTCGCATATTTCACTTATAAATCTGTCTCCATATCCTAAGGGCCATGGATATTGATATCCATATTTGTGTGCTATCGAATATGGATATGTATTATCCACAGATATCCATATCAGGTTTGCATCCCTAGCGACGACAGGTTGGTCAGCTGTCAAAGCATGTGACATGTTTTGGGCAATTTTACCTTTATGTATTTTATGATCTTCTATATTACTTTATGGACTTTGCAGGTGGATAGGAGTAAATAAGGTTAGTTTTGACCTTTTATCCAAGAAGTTCACACACCATTAGCAACAATTTCCACTAATAAATTATACGTTTACTGGTCATCTGAAAGTTCATGGTAGTTTTCTCGAATAAAAAAAAAGTTTGTGGCATTTTTGTGAAATTTACCCTTGTTTCAAGATTACTTTACTTTCTAAAACTCACCGGACATCGTCATATTCTGAATTTCAGAGCCCGATAGTGCCATGCGTAGCCCTAAAAGATTGGCCAGCTCCGTATTTGATGTCGAAGATTTTGTTGACAACGATGGAACTTGCTTCAGTCCAAGAACCATCTTTGCAACGCCACCGGAGAGGAGCTCCTCGTTGCTTTGCTCTCTTCAATTCACTGACGATAACTCCGATCATGGCTTGCTCCTCGATGTCCCCAGCTCTTCGTCATTCCCAGAAGCTGAGCTCCTCTACTATACATCGAATCCAAAAAGAAACAATTCCTCTTCTGAGAGCAGAATTTTTGGTGATGGAGAAGAGAGCCTCTCCAATTTGCCCGTTTCTAGTTTCAATAGCCAAAAGCCTAGACAGAGATAGTTGAACAATTCCTGTGAACTTTTCTCATCGTTCTATGGTAACTCGTAGCCGGGAAAAGGTTGGTAGATTTATATTGGTATTTCTCCCTGTATTTTTTTCGGCATGGGGATTTTTCGACGTGGTTATATATGTAGCTGAAAACTGACTGTTTTCTTTGGGAGTGGAGTTTGGAGTTGCAATGTAAAGCTCAAATGCACAGAGGAGTGGATTTTGAAGCATGGTCAACTGTAAGAGATATTGGAGGAGTTCAACAATATGATGCCTCTCAAGACACTAGTGTCTCAGTTTCAGTTGCTGTTTTTCTGCACAGTTTGAAGTACATGCTTGATGTAAATGGCTGGATTATGTTAATTATGTTAATGGGATTGTTGTATGAGCTTAAATTACATGACTAATGAAGTAGGTGATAGCTTATATGACATTGTCACTAGTCATTATGGGATATATTGATTAAGGATAGCGGTATATTATTTACATATTTAATCGCATTTCTAGGTTCTCTCTGACAACTCTTACGTAAACTGTTTAGTGTTCCTCCAAGAGAGAGAGAGAGAGAGAGAGAGAGAGAGAGGGAGGTTTTTGTAGACCAAAACTAGTTTTGAAGTCTTGGGTCTAGTTTAGCAAATGACTAGACCACAACTTGAATTGGTTCTGTTCGACCAATTTTTACCTTAAAAGCAGTTTAGAATTGGTTTACACACTCTTCCTCAGCTCTAGTTCAGTAAATTACCAAACCATAACTTGCATTGGTTTTGTTTGGCTAATTTTAGCCTTAAAGCAGTTTAGAATTGGTTTACATAGTCCTCGGTCCAAAGCTAAACTAGTTTAAAACTAAGGAAAATGGTATAGGCACACCCCCAGGCACACCTTATGCCACACCCCCTCTCTCAGCTACAGTGCACGGAGCCTACACATGAGATTTTTTAATCCCATGTGTGGGCCCCGTGCACTGTAGCTGAGAGAGGGGGTGTGGCACAAGGTGTGCCTGAGGGTGTGCCTGTAGTGCCACCCTAAAACTAAACCGGATCAATAAAAAAAGGAAACTGTTTAGTGGATCAAAACTAGTTTTTAAACGTTGACTCTTGTTTAGCAAATGATTGGAGCACAACTTTGAATGCGGTTTCCTGGCCAATTGACCTTAAACCCGGTTTAGAATTGGTTCACACCGTTTAGCGGGGGCGCTTGGAATCGCGGGTGGGGGGGTGGGGGTAGGGGGGCCGGGATGAAGGTAGAAAGAGTAACTTGTTTTGTGGATCAAAACTAGCTTTTGAAGTCTTGACTCTACGTTTGCAAATGACTAAACCACAACTTAATTGGTTATGTTTAGCCTATTGGCCACTTAAAGGCAGTTCAAATTGCGTTCAACCCCCCCCCACCCGCGCCGCCCCCCCCCCCCCCCCCCCCCCCCCCCCCCCCCCCCCCAAGCTAAACCAGTTTAGAAGTAAATTTGGTTTCAATCGAAAAAAGTAAACTGTTTAGCGGATCAAAACTGGTTTTTAAGTCTTGGCTCTAGTTTAGCAAATGACTGGACCACAACTTGAATTGGTTTTGTTCGACCAAGTTTGGTCTTAAAGCAGGTCAGAGTTGGTTCACACCCTCCCCCTTGGTCCAAAGCCGAATTCCATTTTACAACTAAACTAGTTCAAAACAAAAAAGTAAACTGTTTAGTGGATCAAACTGCGTCGGATCCTCCTTGAAATATAACCTAGAAGAGTGAATTATTATTTTCATTAACAGCATTTAACCAACCGGGTAACCATATGCTTCGACCTGCATATAATGACGGAGGCCAACTTCGGTTGGTTAATACGATCAGTTCATCGATGGTCAGCAAGTATGATGGTTCTAATGATGATTCTGCACGTATTTCGTGTGTATCTTACAGGTGGGTTTAAAAAACCTCGCGAATTAACTTGGGTTACTGGCGTGGTTCTGGGTGTATTGACTGCATCTTTTGGCGTAACTGGTTATTCCTTACCTTGGGACCAAATTGGTTATTGGGCAGTAAAAATCGTGACAGGCGTACCTGAAGCTATTCCTGTAATAGGATCACCTTTGGTAGAATTATTACGCGGAAGTGCTAGTGTGGGCCAATCCACCTTGACCCGTTTTTATAGTTTACACACTTTTGTATTGCCTCTTCTTACTGCCGTATTTATGTTAATGCACTTCCCAATGATACGTAAGCAAGGTATTTCGGGTCCTTTATAGAGTATAGAAAAGGCAGATCATAGATATTTGTAATTTATCATATTGGGGAGGACCAATAGTATTTCATTGCTACAAATATGTATTATTGAAAAAATAAGACATGTTATTTGGATATTTCTCTTCAACTCCAAAGTATTATATTTTTTATTTGATACGAATAGTTGAAGTAGTTGAAGTGGATTCTCCGAAGAGAGGATGGATTATGGGAGTGTGTGACTTGAACTATTGATTGGGCCGTGCCGATATATGATTTTATCCGCCACGTTGGAATTCACAACCAAATGTGTCTCCGCATCCAACCACCATGTAAATCCCCTTATATAGCATAGGATAGGCCGGTTCGCTTGAGGAGAATCTTTTCTATGATCATACCCGAATTATGTCATACATGAACAGGCTCCGTAAGATCCCGTAGAAAAAAATAAGTGATGTGGCATGATCCAATGTTCTATCTATTCCACTTACTTATTTATAGTCTGGAAATGCATTCATTTCCTCTGCATCGATCCCGATCTATGATACTATCGGAGTGAAATAAGGGATCTAAGGAAGAAGAGAGGCTAGACTTTATTAGTAACAAGTAAATACTTTGTATGTAAGAAAATCGAGATGTTGTGGGGGATAAACACCAAGCAAATCAAAAAGACATGAGACAGTCCAAAAAGCACTTGATTATGATCAAATTTGTAAGCCTACTTGGATATTGAGCATTTACCTGTAAGAACTGAATTCTTTACTGAATTCTTTGCAATGAATAGTTGCAACTACGGAAATGGAATCTTTTCTTACATAGAGTCATTATATATGTTATGTGTGGATATGTATGAAATATAGATTTTCTATCGATTTATTTCTGTCATTCCTTTTATTTTTGCTCGAGCCGGATGATGAAAAATTATCATGTCCGGTTCCTTCGGGGGATGGATCCATAAGAATTCACCTATCCCAATAACAAAGAAACCTGATTTGAATGATCCTGTATTAAGAGCTAAATTGGCTAAAGGGATGGGGCATAATTATTATGGAGAACCCGCATGGCCAAATGATCTTTTATATATTTTTCCAGTAGTAATTCTAGGTACTATTGCATGTAATGTAGGCTTAGCAGTCCTAGAACCATCCATGATTGGTGAACCGGCGGATCCATTTGCAACTCCTTTGGAAATATTACCCGAATGGTACTTCTTTCCCGTATTTCAAATACTCCGCACAGTACCCAATAAGTTACTGGGTGTTCTTTTAATGGTTTCAGTACCAACAGGATTATTGACAGTACCCTTTTTGGAGAATGTTAATAAATTCCAAAATCCATTTCGTCGTCCGGTAGCTACAACAGTCTTTTTAATCGGTACCGCAGTAGCTCTTTGGTTAGGTATTGGAGCAACATTACCTATTGATAAATCTCTAACTTTAGGTCTTTTTTAAATGGATTCAATCGTGAAATACCACGATGTAGGTATCTAGGGAATAGTCCCTTCTAAAGTGAATCCTCCCTAGATACATGAATTTTATTATGATCTATTCCGCGAAAATACGGATCGCGTGCCGAAGATAAAAAATAAAGTTTTTTCTTTAGACCTTTAGAATATAATTTATAAAATATAAAAAGAATATGAAAAGATTCTAATAGATTTAAATTAAAATGAAAGTTTATTCTTAGGTAAATTGATTGCAAAATGCTTCTGTAGAGTGTCCAATATCTGTTTTACATCTTCTGTGCGAAAATATTCAATTTTCATAAGATCTTCTTGACTGTTACTCAAAAGGTCCAATAATGTATGTATATTGGACCTTTTGAGACAATTATAGGTCCTGGGGGATAGTTCTGATTGGTCAATAAAAATACATTTCAATGGAATTCCTTTTTTGTTTTTCTTTAGATTAGTTAATCCATTTTGAAAGGTAAAAAAGGGTAGAGTAAACCTGTTTTTATTTTCCTCAAAATGAATGTCCCCTTCCTCCGCATGTAGAAAAGGAATAAATAAATCAATTAAATTACGAGAAGCTTCATAAAGTGCTTCCTTAGGAGTTAAACTTCCATTTGTCCATATTTCTAGAAAAAGTATTTCTTGTTTTTCATTTCCATTCCCATAAGAATGAATACTATGATTTGCATTTCGAACAGGCATGTATACAGCATCTATAGGATAACTTCCGTCTTGAGAGTTATTTGTGGGGTTCATACGGTATCCGCGATCTCTCTTGATTTGTAATTCAATACGCAAATCAATTGGTTCCGTCAGGTTAGCTATATGTTGTGTTATGTCAACTATTTCCACGGAAGGTGGTAAGATGATATCTTGAGCGGTTACGTATCTAGGACCCCTGACGCAAATGGATGCGTCTCTAACTCCATACAGATTACTTCGCAATACAATTTCTTTCAAATTCATTAAAATTTCATGTACCGATTCCTCAATACCTACTATCGTAGAATATTCATGCGGTACCTTTTCAGATTTTGCACGTGTGATACATGTTCCTTCTATTTCTCCAAGTAGAGCCCTTCGCATGGCAATACCTATGGTATCGGCTTGACCTTTCATGAGCGGGGACAGAATGAAACGACCATAATAAAGACGCTTACTGTCTATTCTTGATTCAACACATTTCCACTGTAGTGTTCGAGTGGATCCTGCTATTCCCTCTCGAACCATACTAATTATTATTTATTATTTGATCAGATCATTGAATCATTTATTTCTCTTGTAATCTGTTTAATTCTTATTTTTACACACGTCTTTTTTTAGGAGGTCGACATCCATTATGTGGCATAGGTGTTACATCACGTACAAAACTTAATAGTATACCACTTCTACGAATGGCCCGTAATGCTGCGTCTCTTCCGAGACCAGGACCTTTTATCATAACTTCTGCTCGTTGCATACCCTGATCAAGTACCGTACGAATAGCATTTGATGCGGCTGCTTGAGCAGCATAGGGTGTCTTTCTTCTTGTGCCTTTGAATCCAGAAGTACCGGCGGAGGCCCAAGAAACCACCCGACCTCGTACATCTGTAACAGTTACAATGGTATTGTTGAAACTCGCTTGAACATGAATAACCCCTTTTGGTATTCTACGTCCATTCTTACGTAAACCAATACGTCCATTCCTACGCGAACCAATTCTCGGTATAGGTTTTGCCATATTTTGTCATCTCATAAATATGAATCAGAAATTTACAGAAAGATACGGGGATATCCATTTCATGTTAAAACAAATCCTTTTTTTTTCATGCCCTTCCTTGATAAACTTTAGAAAGATTATCCTTGTCTCTGTTTATGTCTCGGATTGGAACAAATCACCATAATTCGTCCGCGTCTACGGATCAGTCGACATTTTTCACAAATTTTACGAACAGAAGCCCTTATTTTCATATTTCTCACTCCTTAATTTGGAATCTATTCCTTGGACTTGGAAGAAAAAAGTCTCTTGTATTTTTTAGCTTCGAATTATATCCCCCATGAAAGGAAGGTTTTCAAAAATTATCTAATCGCTCGAATCTTTGTTGCGAAGTCTATAAATTATACGTCCTTTAGTTGAATCATACCTACTTATTTCGATTTTGACCCTATCTCCCGGCAGTATCCGTATCAAACTGTGTCGGATCCTCCCTGAAATATAACCTAGAATTAGATCTTCATTATCTAAACGGATAATGAAATTCAGGGAAAAAAATCTTTGGAATAGGATTAAGAGATTCAATTTCTGGTTTTCAATCTTCAGAAGATGCTAGTATAGAAGAAGATGATGAAATCTTAAGCCCTAAGATCATGGGATCGACAGGTCCTCTTGGAGAGAAGATGAAGAAATCTTTGAAGGAAATTCTCAGATCTGGAGATTTCTTGGTTAATCCTCATCAGCAGGTTGATTCTCAGATGTCTGGACCTCAATTTCTTCAAGCTAGAGCTCTTTCTTGCAACGAGGTGACTAATGGAGATCAAGAGAGTCACTCTCCGTTCTTGAATTCAGGTGCCAGCGGTTCTGGTAAGATTTCTTGGGCAGATAAAGTAGAATTTGAATCTTCTTACCAGCAATCAGTCTTGATTTCACCTAAAGCAATTGATCCACAAAAAAGCCTTCAGAAAGAGAAATCTGTTCTTGATCCGACCAAATCTAAGAATTTGATTTCAGTTATTGAGTCTGTCTCTTTGGAATCACTTGATAAGAGTAAAACTAAAATTAAAAGTTTGTTTTCTGAGGAATCTAATAAATCTGAACCTGTTCAGAGCTCTGATAAATCTGAACCTGTTCAAAGCTCTGATAAGAAGAGCTGGTCTAGTCTATTTGTTGACAACAGAAAAACAGGCTGTGGATTACCGTTGAAATTTTTACCTCCTGACACAAAAGATATTGTCTCTTTTAATGATGAGGAGTGGAATGAAGGAATTTCTATGTGGCAATTCTCCCTATTGGTCAGGTTCTTGGATTGAATGTCAGATTCAAGGCGATGGAGACTTATGTTAAGAAAGTTTGGGCTAATTCTGCCAATCCAGATGTTTTTCTTCTAAAACCTAGAATTTTCTTATTCAAATTTAAAAACAAAGATGAGATGAGTGATATATTAGAAAAAGGCCCTTGGTTTTTTGGATCTAGACCACTATCTTTAAAGCCTTGGTCAATTGGTGAGGACTATGAAAAAATAAATAGCAGTTTATACCCTGTTTGGATTCAGCTGCCTGCTTTGAAGCTTAACTTGTGGAATGTTAAAAGTATCAGTAAAATTGCAAGTGCTGTAGGTCGTCCAATCACCACAGATAAACTTACAGCTAATAAGCAAAGATTAGCTTATGCTAGGGTTCTTGTTGAGATGGATATGCCTGCTTCTCTTCCAGATTTTATCACTTTGAAAGGCCCAGATGGTAAACTTTTTAATCAAAAGATTTTATATGAGCTAAAGCCTAGATGGTGTAATCATTGCAAATCAGTGGGGCATGATACTTTGTTTTGCAAGAGAACTATAGGAGTTCAGAGATGGGTTCCTAAAACTATTAATTCTACTGCTCAGAATACTCAGAAGGCTTCTGTACAGGATCCTGGTTTTAAGGAAAATTTTCCAAATATTCAAACAACATCTTCCATTGATCTTCCAAATAACTCAGTGCATAATATGGTATTACAAAGGACAGATGGAAATGTTTCCACTATGGTATTCCAAATAACTCAGTGCATAATATGATATTTCAGTATTGCAAAAATATCAGAATACTGAAATGCAAGAAAGAATTCAAAAGCAAATGAAAGAGAAAGAATTGTCCCCTATGAATTATCAGCATGATGAACAAGCAGTGCAAATAAGCAGAATTGAAAACATTCCTCAATCTGGCTTAAGGGGGGTGCACAGTCTGGTGTATGGTGCACGTGCACAACAGACAGGTTCTGAAAGTTCTTTTCATTCTCCCCAATCTAACAACTCTTGGTCTCTAGTTCAAGGTAATAAACAGAGGAAAAAGTTTACTCCAGAGAATCAGTTCTTCCAACTTGAGTACTTTGATTTGGACCCCTCTACAGTGGATAGAGGGGGTGCTTTCAATTGATGAACCTTTCTTTCTGGAATGTGAGGGGACTGAATAGACCCTCAAAGCAAAAAATTGTTAAGCACCACTTATGGCAATATCATGTCTCCTTTGTTGCTTTACTGGAAACTAAGATCAGAGATTCCTTATTATCAAAAACTGCCAGGTTTATTGCTAAAGACTGGAGCTGGCTGTCAAATGTTAGAAGTCCTGGAAAAGCTAGAATTGTTATCCTATGGAATCCTAATATGTTAAATATACAATTGATCAGCTCTTCTGATCAATGTATCACATGCACAGTGAAATCTCTTGATGGTAAACTAGATTGTGTTATCTCATCTATCTATGGTTTCAATCAAATGGAAACAAGGAAAGAGCTGTGGTCTGAATTGAAGTCTATCCATCAAACTGTTGGAAATACTCCTTGGCTTTTATTTGGGGATTTTAATGCTATTATTAGCAATGAAGAGAAAATTGGGGGTAGTATCCTTCATGATTCTGAAACTGAGGATTTCAGAAACTTCATTAATGATTGTCAGCTGGATCATTTGAAAAACATTGGATGTTTTTATACTTGGAACAACAAACAGGATCATGGATCAAGGATTTGGAGTAGATTGGATAGAGTTTTGATAAATGATAAATGGATTCAAAATTACAATTCTAGCCAAGTGGAATTTTTATTACCAAAAATTTCAGATCATTCTCCTGGGCTCATCACAGTTAACGAAGACAGTTATCAGGGCAAGAAACCTTTCAAATTTTTTAAGATGTGGACAAAACATGCTTGTTTCCTCCCTACAGTAGCAAATATCTGGCAGCAAAGGATCAAAGGATGTACCATGTTCTCAGTTTGCTCTAAACTGAAAACTTTGAAGATTGCTCTGAAGGATATAAATAAGAAATTTTTCTATAATATCAGTGAACAGGTTTATCATGCAAAGCAAGCTCTGGAGGATGTGCAAAAAAATTTACAAAATGATCCTATGTCTCCTGAGTTTATTAAACAGGAAAAGGTCTGTATATCTAAATACAATACCTTAATGGATTGTGAATTATCCTTCTACAAGCAAAAAGCAAGAACTGATTGGAGTATACAAGGTGACAGATGCACTGAACTGTTTCATTCAATGATAAAAGCTAGTAGGCATCAAAACAGAGTTATGATTCTTTACAATAACTTGGGACAAAGACTAACAGAAGGTGACGATATTGTTAAGGAGTTTATCTCTCATTTTAAAAACCTGATGGGGACTGCTATGGATACTACTTCTCCAAATATCAATATTATTCACTCAGGACCTTGTCTGGATGATTCTCAAGCCAGTTCTCTGATTGCCTCAATCACTAATGAGGAAATCAGAAATGCTATTTTTTCCATGCCAGACAATAAAGCACCTGGACCAGATGGCTACAGTGCTACATTTTTCAAATCTTCATGGAGTATTGTTGGAGATGAAGTTACTAAAGCTATTGCGGATTTCTTCAGAACTGGCAAGTTGCTAGGTATGGTTAACTCAACTTCAATCTCTCTTATCCCAAAAATCAAAAGTCCTACTTCTCCTTCAGATTTTAGGCCCATCTCTTGTTGCAATGTTCTTTACAAAATCATATCTAAAATTCTAGCAAATAGGATTAGAACAGTTATGGGTTCTATTGTAAATGATGCTCAAAGTGCATTTGTTGAGGGTAGGCAAATCACCAACAACATTTTACTGGCTCATGAATTGATCAAGAATTATGGCAGAAAATCAGTTTCCCCAAGGGTTATGCTCAGCATAGATATCAAAAAAGCTTTTGATACTATCAGTTGGTCCTTTATAAAAGATATGTTACTGGGTCTGCAGTTTCCAAATAAAATGGTGGACTGGATAATGACCTGTATCACCTCTCCATCTTATTCTATCTCCCTTAATGGCTCCCTACATGGGTACTTTAAAGAGAAAAGAGGCCTTAGCAGGGGGATCCCCTTTCTCCCTACCTTTTTATCCTTGGTATGGAGTATCTCTCAAGGAGCTTGGACCTGTTGAAAAATGATAGGCAATTCAATTTTCATCCAATGTGCAGAAAGCTCAAGATTTCCCATCTGGTCTTCGCTGATGATTTATTATTATTTAGCAAGGGTGATCTGAATTCAGTCCTTAAGCTCAATCAGTGCTTGAAAGAATTTAGCTCTGTTACTGGTCTGGAACCAAACTCAGATAAATGTCATATTTTCTTTGGTGGGGTAAATGAAGCTACTAAAGTTTCTATTAAAGAATCATTGGGTATTGCTGAAGGTTCCTTGCCTATTAGATACTTGGGGATGCCTCTTGTTTGCAAAAGATTATCATACTCAGATTGCAATCCTCTTCTTAATAAAATCAGCAATCAAATTCAGTTATGGTCCAAATCAAAAAAGCTGTCATATGCGGGGAAATTACAAGTTATCAAAAGTGTTATCTTGGGTGTTCAAATATACTGGACTTCCTGTTACATCCTGCCTGTTGGTGTGCTTCAGAAAATTGATGACATATGCAGAGACTTTCTTTGGGGAAGAACTGAGCACTCTCAAAAACCATCATTAATAGCTTGGGGGAAAATTTGCTGTGACAAAAAATCTGGAGGTCTAGGAATCTTTTCAGCTCGATTATGGAATCTTGCAGCTGCTTTGAAGAATATATGGTATATCCATTTGAATAAGGAACTCCTTTGGATCAAGTGGATCCATGGAAAATATTTGAAGAATGGAGACATATGGCTCGTCAATGCTAAATCTGGGGATTCCTGGCTTTGGAAACAGCTTATAAAATCCAGAGATAGAGCTGTTGTTTTAGTTGGAGGTATTGATATCTTGAAACAAGTCATTGGCTCTTGCTACAAAAATTCAAAAGTTAAAACCTCTGCTCTGTATGAAGCTTTATCTCCCACTGTTCCTCAAGTTCCATGGTTTAACACTGTATGAGAGAAAATGAACTACCCCAAGCACTCATTTATTTGTTGGCTTGCAGTTCAGAATAGGCTATTGACACAAGACAGGTTATTGATGATGGGAATTATTCAATCAAATAGCTGCAGTTTATGTATAGGTGCAGGTCCTGAAGATCGTGATCACCTATTTTTTGACTGTGTGTATTCTCAGAATGTATGGAACAGGGTTATGTGTTGGCTCAAGTTTAAATAGAGATCTTGTAGTTGGAGATACCTATTGGATTGGTTCTACAATTGTTTAAGAGGCAGAGGATTCAAGAAGGGGATCAAAAGGATGGCTTTTTCGGTTACTCTTTACAAAATTTGGTGTGAGAGAAATGCCAGGATTTTCTCACAGACTTCAAAAGGGATTGAACAGCTAGTAAATGAGATTAAGATGGACATTTTGATCCCAATCCTAAATAGTCCTATTCAATCTGAAAACAGGGATTGGATTAATTCTTTATAGATATTGATTTGTTTTCTGGGGTTATCCCTAGGCTGTAAGTGTTTTCACTATTTTTAGATTTCTCAATTATGAGAATCTAGATGTACATAACTCTCATTTTGGTTTGAATGAAATAAAATTCTCATTGACCAAAAAAAAAACTAGTTTTTAAGTCTTGACTCTAGTTTAGCAAATGACTGGACCACAACTTGAGCTGGATTTTTTTTCTTGGAGAAATCAAGAAAGATTCATTGATATGCTTCAAGAAGAAGTTGATCACACATATGATCTGGACCAATAAGAGAATCTGTCAAATGATACATATGTGGAGAAATTTGGAAAATTTAGTTTTTTGCAGATTCTGTGTCATAAGTCGACTCATGCACAGGCATAAGTCGACTTATGGTAAGTCGACTTGTCAGGTCTGATAAGTCGACTTACGATCTGTTCTCCAGTTGCTGTTTTTCGCTCTGCCAAGTCGACTTATGCAGACTGATAAGTCGACTTACGACGGGTTTTTTTGGAAAGTTCATGTTCCTATTTGCAGTCTGTTTGGGTTTCTGTTTTGGTATAAATACCAATACGATTTGAGGGTTTTGTGAGGAGAGTTTTGGGGTTTTGGAGCACAGAAAAAGAGAGATCTTTCTGAGCTATTTGTTAGGGTTATTGGTTGAGAGATTGAGAGATTTGTTGGTGAGATTAGTTGGTTTGTTTGAGCGATTTGTAATCTCAATTTGTACTCTCCTTTTCTATTAGTGGAAACCCTCCCCCTTCTTGCCCCGTGGACGTAGGCAATTGCCGAACCACGTTAAAATTGGTGTTTGGTTTGTGCATTGATATTTGGTTGTTTTTGGTCTTCTTTCATCGGCGTTTGTTTTGGTTCCTCGGCGCCGTCGTAAGGCACAACAAGTGGTATCAGAGCTCGGGCTACGCTTGGGCTATTTGGAGGAGTATATCGCTTTGGAAGTTCGTCTAGGGCTTCGTTTGGTGATAAAGGTGGGATCTTTTTTGGTAAAAAATCTCGTCTTTTTTAGTTTGGATCTATTTCTCGTTTGTTTCCGCATTGGTTTGGTGGTGCTTTGAGGATTATGGCCGAGAAAGAAGGAGTTGTGGGCAGTACTTCCGGCGTGAAGACCGTCCAAAGCTTGAATATCCACTCGATGAAGATTGACGTGGAAAAGTTCAATGGCACAAACAATTTTGGACTTTGGCGATGCGAAGTCATGGATGCGCTCAACGCGCAAAATTTGGAAGATACGTTGGAGTTGGACGGGAAACCGGACAACATTGATGAGAAGGTTTGGAAAAAGATGAATCGAACGGCGTGTGGAGTGATTAGGTCTTGTCTCACTCAAGATCTAAAGTATGATGTGATCAATGAGACTTCTGCAAAGAAGATTTGGGAGATCCTTGAGAGCAAGTATTTGACCAAGAGTGTGGAGAATCGCTTGCATTTGAAGAGGAGGCTTTACCGCTTCCAGTTGAAGAAAGGAACCTCCATTGGTGATCACATGAACCACTACACGAAGCTTCTTGCGGATTTGGCGAATGTGGATGTTAAGATTGAAGATGAGGACAAGGCGTTGTTGCTATTGAGTTCCTTGCCTGACGAGGAATATGAGAC